CTTTAGGACAGACTGGTTATGACTAATAGGTGAATAGGCATGTTTATTTCTCAGTCTTTATTTATAAGCATTTATTTATTATAGACTCAACATTCAAAAAACTAAGATCATGGCAACTGATCCTATCACTTCATGACAAATAGATGGGGAAAATGTGGAAACGGTGTCAGATTTCATTTTCTTGGGCTCCAAAATTAATGCGGACAGTGACTGCAGCCATGAAATTAAAAAACGCTTGCTCTTTGGAAGAATAGCTATGACAAACCTAGATAGTATATTAAAAAGCAGAGACAACACTTTTCCAAGAAAGGTCTGTATAGTCAAAGCTATGGTTTTTCCAGTAGTCATGTATGGATGTGAGAGTTGGAGCATAAAGAAGGCTGAGCACTGAAGAACTGACATTTTCCAACTGTGGTGTTCGAGAAGACTCTTGATAGTCCCTTGGGCAGCAAGGAGATCAAACCAGTCAATCCTAAAGGAAATCAACCCTGAATATTCATTGGAAGGACTGATGCTGAAGCTGAAGCTCTAATACTTTGGCCACCTGATGTGAAGAACTGATTCATTGGAAAAGACCCTGATGCTGGGAAAGATTGAAGGCAGGAGAAGGGGAGGACAGAGGATGAGATGGCTGAATGGCATCACTGACTGGATGGACATGAGTTTGAGCAAGCTCAGGAAGATAGTGATGGACAGAGAAGCCTGGTGTGCTGTAGTTCATGGGGCTGAAAAGAGTTGGACAAGACTTAGTGACTGAACAACAACAAATTCATTATACAACAACCTTGAGAATAGCGAAGGTGTAACTTTGTTGGTGGTCTTCCAAGGTGCAAAGTGGTAAAGAATCCACGTGCCAATTGAGGAGATGCAGGTTCAATTCCTGGGTGGAGAAGACCCCCTGGAGGAGGAAATGGCAACCCACTCCAGTATTCTTGCCCGGGAAATCCCATGGACAGAGAAGCCCGGCGGGCTACAGTCCATGGGGTTGCAAAAGAGTCAGATGCAACAGAGTGACTGAGGACACATGTATGTAAATTTGTTGGTAGAACTGGAAAACTAAATGATTATTAGTGTGTTTTGGATATTAATTCTTGGAGATTAATTGACATCTGGATGAAAACATTCCAAAACTTTCAGCCAAAGGGTTCTATTTTATTTGGGAAGATTTTTGGGAGATTCCTGTAAGAGAAACTCATTGCCAAGAAGTTAGAAAGAGGAAGTCTTAAGAAAAGTGTTTTTAAAGAAGGTAAAAAGTATATTATAAAGAGCTAAAAGGAGAGAAAACATTTATTAAGCCAATATACCAGACATTTTCACTCTTTATCTCATTTATTTCTCCCAATGGCCCTGTATTAAGGGTACTATTAAATCCATTTTAGAAACAGTACAGTCTAAACCTCAAGTAGCTTTTTAAACAGATCACACTTACTAACTGGCAGAGCAACAAGGAGTCCATGCTTCTATTAGCTTTTGGCTGCCTTTAGCTCAGTGCAAGAGGTAAAGGAGGGAACAACACATTTGCTGGAAAGAATGAATGAATAAATGTACTTCAGCTCTGCTCTTTATGTGTCCCTGCATAAGACAATTAATTTTCTGAGTCTGTCTTCATTTTTTAAAGTTAATTATTTAAAACATTTATTTAGTTTTGACTGCACTAGGTCTTTGTTGCTGCACAGGCTTTCTCCAGTTATGGCGAGTGTGGGCCCCTTTCTAGTTCTGGTGGGCAGGCTTTTCATTGCGGTAGCTTCTCCTGTTGCTCTTTGTGGGCTCTAGGCATGCGGGTTCAGTAATTAGTGCAGGGGCTTAGCTGCTTCGAGGCATGCGGGATTTTCTCAGACCAGGGACTGAACCTGGGTCCCCTGCCTTAGCAGGTAAATTCTTAACCACTGGACCACCAGGGAAATCCTCTTCATTTGTTAAAGGAAGATAACAAGACTTCCTTCACAGAAATGAGGTAAGGAACAAATAAGGTGATACAACAGGGAAAAACAAAATATAAAATATTAAATGTTAGATAGTGTCAACTACAAATTGGCACTTGCCATGGGTGTTTGTTATCTAACACTTACAAGGATTAAATCATGTGTTGCTGCACCTGCTGACCTTTAACAGTCCCTGAAGGAGTTCAGGGTGGCGAGTAAAAAGGAGGCACCCTGTCTGTGCTCGGGGAAGCCCTGGCAGGACAGGTTTCAGAGAGTTATGTCACGCGAGTGTATGTTCCTCGGTTCTTTGTCTCGTCACAACAAAAGTTTGGAGTGACGGACATCAAAGCCCCTTGGCGGGTCACAGCTCTCGGGGGACAGACCGTGTTATAACTCTCAGGTCTCAGACAGACCGTGTTACAGCTCTTAAATAAATCAGTGTTACGGCTCAGTGTTACAGCTCTATTTATTTAGATAATAGCAGGAAAATCCATCTTTGAGGCGTGAGGGCACGTCGATCCAAAGACACGAAGAGAAGATCGCCCCACCGAGCAGGGGGAGAGGGAGGGAGCAAAAGGGGAGAAAAGGGCTTTGGCTCCACTTTTTATATGTTTCTCTGTCCCTGGGCCTGTCTTATGTAAATTGGGCTTAGGCCGGAGCGTTGTTTGTTTTACCTGAGGTTCTCACTTCCTCCTGGGACCTTCCTTTGTTCTATTTTCGAGGGCTTTCCCTTCCAGGTCTTTTAGCCACCGCCATTTTGGACTCTTTTTCCCTGTTCTAACTACCTAACAGTTAGATATTCTAAGGAGTTGGTTTATGAGCCCAATTCTTATGCTTCCTCATATCTAGAAGCGCACCAAAATCCTTCATGGTAACAACTGTTTCTCATGACTAGCAGAAGCTAAATGAGACTAACAGAAACGGTCTATCCAAAGTATATGTTTGATTGCATGAACTCTGCCTTTACCAAAATCACATATATACTGTCCCTTCCCCTTACCTCTTTGGAACAGTTTCTCAGAGCAATATGGGGTGCTGTCTCCTGGGCTGCAATACTCATTTTGCCCCAAATAAAACTTAACTTGAAATCCTCACATTGTGCATTTTTTAAGTTGACAGTAGCGTGATACAAGTAACAAATTGATATGTATAATTTGTGTGTGCAAATGAAAACAGCTGAAGAAGGGCTTGGCAACCCAGTCCAGTAGTCTTGCTTGGAGAATTCCACGGACAGAGGAGCCTGGTGGGCTCCATGGGTCACCAAGAGTCGGACACAACTTTTCACTTTTGTGCACTGGAGAAGGAAATGGCAACCCACTCCAGTGTTCTTGCCTGGAGAATCCCAGGGACGGAGGAGCCTGGTGTGCTGCCGTCTATGGGGTCGCACAGAGTCGGACACGACTGATGCGACTTAGCAGCAGCAGCAGCATACATAACTTCCAAGCACCAGACCCTAAGAGAAATGGTACTGCATAGAAAATTTGGAAAAATAAGTAAGAAATTTATACACACACACACACACACATATATATATATATATATATTATGGGGTGGTTAGTTTTTTTTTATATATACCCACCGCTTTCTCTCTTTATTTATTTATGGCTGCACTGGGTCTTCCTTGCTGCACACAGGCTTTCTCTGGTTGCAGAGAATGGGGGCTACTCTATAGCTGTGGTGTGCAGGCTTCTCATTGCTATGGCTTCTTTAGTTACAGAGCACAGGCTCTAGGCTGCAGGCTTTGAACTTGGGGCTAGCAGGCTCTAGACGTGTGGGATTCAGTTACTCCTTGGCATATGGAATGTTCCCTGACCAGGGATTGAACCCATGTCCCCTGCCTTGGCAGATGGGTTCCTATCCACTGCACCACCAGGGAAGTCTCCAAGAAATCGATAATATTTATCCGAAAGGGGATATGGGCAGTTAGGGACAGGGTAAAGAAACTTCACATCTGTAACCTTTGCATTTCCCTTTTTAATTTTGAACCATGTATTACTGCATTGCTATTCAAAGAAATAGACTTTAAACTTTATAAAAATATTATATAGAAATGTAGCATTTCTATATGTAATATGTAACATTTCTATGTTATTAACATAGAATAACCACAGTACTTTTCACTGCCTTTTTTTCAATTACTAAATTATGAAAATAAAGCCACTTCATTTTCAACATGATTGTATCTTTTTAACAGAATTTGTGGCCCCAGGGCAAGTTTGTTGTTGTTAAGAATTAAACAGTCTTACCATTATTTTGAAGTGCTTCCCTGATGGTTCAGAGGTAAAGAATCTGCTTGCATTGCAGACGATGGGGGGAGGGGGATGCGGGGCAGGGGAGGGGGAAGATGCTCGTTCTATCCCTGGGAGGTAAGATCCCCTGGAGAAGGAAATGGCAACTAGTTCCAGTATTCTTGCTGGGACAATCCCAGGGACAGAGGAGCCTGGCGGGCTATGTAGTTCACGGGGTCGCAAAGTGGGAGATGCGACTGAGAAGGCACGCACCATTATTTTGAAAGACTAATTTCCTCGATGGTAGGTTAAATTGAGTGGAATGAGTTATTTTCTAAGAATAACACTACGTGCAGGTAGGGCAGCCGTTTTATTCCTGAGTTCATAGAGAAATGGAGAGAAAAGTGAACGAAGAGTTAGTGGTTAACTCTGACTTTGCTATGGGGTACCATTAGTCGTGCACCGCTACGGCTCCTGTGAGCTTTGGCGGTCTTCCAAAGCGCGTGTACTAAATAGGATCCTTAATTTTTCCTGATCTGCTGCCATGACCAGTCCAGGGTAGGATTAGGACCTTCCTAGGTCCCCAAACATTGGAGAGATGACAGTGTCCCTCTCTATGCAATTAAAAACAGAAATTCACTTAAGAAATTAAAAGTTAAATTAGGGTGAATGAAAGGCCTTCCTTCTAGACTTTCTGAAATAAAAGTGCAGAATAAATTCATCAAAGCTGAACTTTATTCTGCATTTTCCTTCCTTTCCAATATGTTAACCTTAATCAGAAGTCTGTTCCATCATCCAGAACTCGCAGGCTCTAAAGCCGGAACCACGCGGCTCCCCTAAGTGGCCAGCCCTAACCCACCAGCAATCTCCTTCGCCCCACCCATCTGGCATTTAGCCCCGCCCACTTCACGTGTCGCCGTGACGTCAGCACGCCGTCGCAGAAGCCTGGCATCAAATGAGCGCAGGTGGCTGCGGTCCTTCGTCGGGCTCTTGAATGCGCAGGCGCTGTCGTTCCGGGAGCTCTGAAGACCTGGCGGAGCCCGGCGCGGATGGAGGCCTCGGGGCGGCGGGGGCGGAGCGCGCCGCGAGCGGGGGGCATGTCCGCGGCGGGCGCCGTCTAGAGGAAGGCCGAGCAGCCACCACCACGCTTTCAGTCGCGGCGAGACGCAAGCGAGCCAGGCTGAGGGCCGCGGCGGCAATGCAGCGACGGCGGCGCCCACCGCCGCCCGCCTCTCAGCTGCCGGAGGGCTGCGGGGGAGGCGGCGGCGGCCGCGGGGGAGGCGGCGAGAGCGAGGAGGTAGAAGTGCAGTTCTCCGCCGGGCGTTTGGGCTCCGCCGCGGCAGTTTCGGCGGCGGCGGCCGCGCGCAGCACGGAGGAAGAGGAGGAGAGGCTCGAGCGCGAGCACTTCTGGAAGATCATAAATGCCTTCCGCTACTACGGGTAAGGAGCCCGTGGCGGACCCCGGCTCAGCCCGTCGGGGCGCCAGCCCCTTGCGGCGGACCCGCCGGACGCCACGCCTCCGGGGCGTCGGAACCGGGCCGCCTGAGCTGACCTCCGGGCCCCCGAGTCATCTCGCACCACCTTAGCCCCTCCCGACCCAGCACACCCGCGTGTCTGCCGCGCCGTCTGCTGCTCAGCCTCTTGTCTTCTGACCTCAGGATCAGATTAGCCCTCTTGCCTTCCATCCCTCGTTAAAGGTTTGGCTTTGAGGCTCGTGGGGATGACCGGAGAAGTGCTGTAAGAATTTCAGATAGAAGATGTTGATGGTAAAATCGTCCAGTGCTGGGCATGATTTGTTTGTGTTGTCGGTGTCCTCCAAACTGAACAGACGGAGAGCCCAAGTTCACCTACACGTGGGATGCTGTAGGACATTTTTTCCCGAACTGTTGGCAGTTCTTGTTAAGGCCCAGCACCCCCTCCCCCCCCCCCCCGGCGCTGTGAGCGCACAGGCACTTTTATGGTCCCCTACCCCCACCCCCCATTTGGCGCGGTGAACGCAAGGCACTTTTGTGGTGAGCCAGTGAATGATGCCACTCGGTGTCTTTAACTGGTGGGTGAAATTAAGGTCGTAGATAGTCCGGATGTTCTAAAATTTGCAAATTTTTAGGGAGGGAAATGAGAGGAAACACTGTAGGAGCCGCCTTTATGATCTTTTCTGCAAATATGTATCGAATTCTCACTGGATTGGGCATCGTGGTAGGATTTTTAAACTTCCTAACTTGCACTTTCTTATAAGTAAATCTTCAAGTAGCTTAGTCACAAACTTGTAATTACAAGATCTGAAAGTGACTTAAAACAACTGGGTTTTCAGGTAAAGAAAGCACTTTTATTCGTATGAGGGATGAGTCCACCGACTACAGTGTTCTGAGTCTGCATTTGGAATCAGATAGACGTGACCTCCTACTCAAGAAAAATTGTTCCCTTAGATGGGCTCCTGCTGTGCTTTATGCAAATTTTTTAATATTGCTTGACTGACCTCCTCAAGGGCAGGGACTGATCCTTATTTATTTTTGTGTCACCAGTGCCTGGCGTTTTGTTGGAACTCTATTTTTAACAGGAGGAGTAGCAGCAAAGAAGTACATTTGTCATTCCCAGATAGTTTGTCAAGTTTGTAACTGATGATTAGTTTGTTACTATTCTGAATTTCAAAACTTGCTTAATAAAAGCTTTTTTAGACTCTGATTACATTTGTGACATGAATTTTTGAGGTTGAAAGGTCTTGATGAAATAATTTACTAATTAAACCCAGGCATATGAACCATGGACCACCTTACTTAGGGAGCTCTGAAGGGAATTAGTAGTACGGGGATTTTATTAGTATCAACAGAGGGAGAAAGGCAGACAACCAGAGAATTGAATTTGTTGTAAGTATTATGTCTGGAAGAACCACACAGGGAGAGGAAGGAGCTGACATTAGGTAGCTCAAAGTGGTAGGTACAGAAAAGTCTGGTATATTTTAATGTTGAAAAATGTAGAAAGCATATTGGGAAATGTCCTGGGACTGTAGTAAGACACAGCTGAAATGTGTGTTTGTATATTAGGCGTAGTATGTATTAGGACTACTTTAGAATTGATATTTATGATTTAAGTATCATCTGGGCCTTTTTGTGGGGGAGGGCAAGGGATTTTGATCTGAAACTAGGACCCAAGTGTGGTAATATAGAAAAGGACACTGTGTGTGTGTTCAGGTGGTTGTGATACGGTTTCCTACACTCTTCTCCCTCTTCTGTAGCAATTCAGTGTGAGATCGAGGAAAATTTCATTTTTTACAACAATCCTTTTTATTTGTATGTACTCAAAAAAATGGAAATCCCTTATACTAAAAATAGTATACAGTTAAACATGTTTAGAATTATGGAAAGGATTGTGTAGCAGAAAACACTGAATTATTACCTTCCAACATTTTATAATCTTATAGACCTATACTGCCCAATATAATAGCCACTAATCACATCTGGCTGAACTTAAGCTTAAATTAACTAAAATGTAGTAAGATTTACAGTTCGTCTTTTCAGTCTAGGTAGCCATATTTCAGGTGCTCAGTAGCCACGTGTGGCTGTTGTCTGCTGTCTTGGACAGTGCAGATGTAAGCCTTTCCATCATTGTAGTAAGTTCTTAGGGACAGTCCTCTTCTAGACTGTTAGCAGGTACATCCTGATATTGGAGAACTGGGTCTTACTGCTCACTGTCTTTTCGTCAGGATATGGGAGATTTAGATAAAGGTCGTGAGGCAAGAAATGTCTTCTGATTAATATTTTCTCTCTCCAGTGGCTTTCAATTTTGTACTTCCTACACATTTTGCTTAGATGACATAGTCTCACTAAGGTAAAATGATTATAGCATTGTACTGAACAGCAAAAAATGTTAGCCTTAAGTTACCACTTTTGTTATAAATGGAGATACCTACTGATATAGGATATGCTACATTTGAAATATCAAAGGTCTCGTCAGAAATGTCCTACTTTTAGAAATAGCAGTTAGGTGGGATCTTAAACACAGATGCAGAGCTCATGGGGGAGGAAACGGCAGCCCACTCCAGCGTTCCTGCCTGGAGAATCCCAGGGACGGCAGAGCCTGGTGGGCTGCCGTCTATGGGGTCGCGTAGAGTCAGACACGACTGAAGCGACTTAGCAGCAGCAGCAGCAGCAGAGCTCATTTTTACAGATGAGGGGATAGGCATGTAAAGAAGTAAGCAACTTGCACAGGGTTGTCCAACCAAATTGTGGTAGAGTCTGGCCTGAAATCTAAAAGCATTAACTAAAAATTTACCCTGTGTTAGTAAGCAGTGATGCTAGTAAGACAATTTCAACTTTGGGTATTTAATAAATATTTAAAATGGGTTGAAACACTCTGCTGAATAGATATGTTTCCCTGTTTGGAATTCTAGAACAGTTCAGCCGCAGCGGAGGAATGGGTCTGTGACTCTTGGCCAGATCGATCATTGGACCCACTCTTATAAAAGGTGACTGAGTCAGAGTTGGGGTCACTGCCTTGTAGAGGGAGCTTGAGGTAGGGATACACTTGAGGAAATACAGCCACTGACCCTACTTTCTGCTTTGAGGTACCCAAGGATGTGGCCTCTTAATGCTGACTCAGTTCAGAACCAAGGAGAGTCTGAAGGTTGTAAAACATTCCTTTAAAACAGGGTTGGCAAACTTTTCTTAAAGAGCCAGGCAATGAATATTTTAAACTCTGAGAGCTAGGTGGTCTTTGTTAAAACTGTAGGCCTGTGCGCTTGTGTGAAAGCAACCGCAGGTAGTATGGGAAGGAATGAGCATAGCTGTCTTCCAGCAGAACTCTTTACAAAAACAGGCAAGTAGCTGGGAGGTCATAACTTGTCTGCCGCTGTCTTAAGCACATTGGTGATGTAAGCATTTACAGAGGAGTGAAATTAGCCCCAGTTAAAAAATCCCACAGACAGAGGAGCCTGGCAGCCTACAGTCTATGGGGGTCACAAAAGTCAGGCACGACTTGAGTGACTTAACATGCTTGCATGCACAAAAGGATTCTGGTCATCTTGATCGAGTGAGCTATGAGTAGAGGCATTTTAGGATGACTCGTTAGTTTCTGACTTGGTGGATGTATGGTGTACCATTGATCAACAGCAGCCATTTAGGAAGAAGTACAAATTTCTTTGGTGGGACATGTGCTAAGTTCAGGTTGGGAATGTTGAGTTTTGAGGTGTGCTCAGAGGGAGGGTGTAGGGCATCCAGGGCCCAGGAATTCAAGGGAGTTACTATGAGACTCTTTAACCTGTTGACAGTAAATTATAAACAGTTGCAGCTCTGCTGTTTGCTGACTTTAAGTAGTTCCTTGGTGTCATACTCTACTGATAGCAACGTCAATTGATACAGTTTTTCTGAAAATCAGTTTGTATCAAGAACTTTACAAATTCTTACCTTTTCTGATGTGGTAATTCTTTTGGGAATTTGTGGTAATTTTTTTCCCTCTAGAATATAGATAGATTTTGAATACAAAAAGTACATTGTATAGTCAGGTAAAAGTATCTAGATGCCCAGTATTTGGGAAATAGCTAAGTAAATTTTCGTTGTGTAAGATGGGATGGTGAGCAGTCCTTTTAGTCGTTTGTCATATAGTCGTTTGAGAACTTTTTTCTGCCCTGGGAAAATTATTTTGATAAGGATGAAGAATTTCAAGTGTTTCTAAAACTTTAATATCCATGTGAGTCATTTGATGATCTTGTTAAAAGGCAGATTACATTTCAGTAGGTCTCGCATGGGACGGTGATTCTCCACTTCCAACCACTTCCAAGTAACATGCTGCATTTTTGACTAGAAAGGTATTAGATTACTTTGTCTTAAATGACAGCAATAAAGCAGAAATATGCCAAAGAGTTAGAAGTGCTTACCTCTAGAAGTGGAATTATTAGGAACTTACCCTCCACTGAGTACTTTTACTGCTCTGTATTTTTCATAGTTTCACTATGTATACATTAATTTTATAAATTAGATATACCTCTTATATTTGAGCTCTAATTATGTTTTAGGCACTGGGCTAAGAGTGTAGTGTGCATTATTTTGTTATTTCGGTGAAGTGTGTTAGGTAGGCAGAGGAATATACTGGTATTTGCCTCATGGA